ATTTACCTTCACTGCACTCTTTGCTAATCTGTTTGTTGAAGATCTGGTTTGAATTGATTTCTTTTCCTGTCACTGATATTTACCTGCTCAGAGTAAACAGAAGGTTAGTAACCCAAAGTTAATGCTTACTGCGTGTGATTAAAGTGCATATAGGTACAACAGTTTTTTCAGAGTTGCCGCAACTACACATGACATCAGATTGCCTATTCTAAACAAGGAGAAAGAACCTTTACGTTGCAGTATTGCGTATATTTGATTAGGCAGATATTACTGTTCACTTCCCCTGTTGCCAAAGAACCAAGGCCAGATAGGGATCTTCTTTTGAATTCTGGAAATAAAACAAGCAATCTTTATGGGTCCCATGGATTTATTTTAGAGGACATTTCGGCTTTGGGAGGGTTGAAGTGTGGCATGAAATGTTGCAGAAATGATGGGAAATTATGAATTAGTAATTGTGCAAGATTCTTGGCCACTTAAACATTGTCTATTGTATAATTCTGGATGAGAGACAACAGCAGGGAGCAGGAGGTGGGAGAATAAGTATTGGGGGAAGAATATGAGGAAAGTGAGTCAATTCCTGCTTCTGTTGTATTCTGTGTCATCTACATCTGGAATTTAACTTATGTGTGTTTTTAATGGTAGTTCTTTGTTGTTTCATGTTGTTAAAGGAATGGTGTGCTTTTGTAAGTCTTTCTTCTGGAGGCAAAATTCAATGGATTGAATGAGGAACTATCATGCTTACAGCAATATCACATGAATCTGGAAACTCACATGACAGCAGGATAATAGTGTATTTGGCTGTTATTTATCACAACATTGTGTCTCTTCTGTTGTTGCTATGTACGGGCAGTCCCCAAGTTGTTATGAACATGATAGGTTTGTTTGCTTGTTCCTAAGTTGAATTTGTATGCAAGATTGCACAGGTACATTTTTAAAGTGTAGGTATATAGCTATATATGTGTGTGTGTGTGTGTGTGTGTGTGTAGGCTTTAATAGCACAAGGAAGGGTGAACACCCTTGTGGTTTGTTTTGCTGTCTGTGCCCCTATTCAGAAGATTTCACCTCACTTCCTGTCCCTGTGAGAACTGGATTTTGAAAAATTTGATTTGTTGTAGAAACAAGTTCTGGCAATAAAGCTCCAGTGGAGACACCTTTTCCCCATGATAACTCTTTCAGGGATGAATTTCCCTTCCTAGTGTTAGATTTCTCTCACTTCCTGTTGTCTCACCTCCTTAACTATGAGTTGTTTGGAAGTCAGGTGATTGTAACTTGGGGACCTCCTGCATTTCAATTGTTCATAGAGTGCACCTTTACACTGACAGAAAATCCTGTCAATGGATCCCAATACTGATGCTTTTAAAATACTCTCTTGGGTACAAAGGGGTCCCTTCTGCTGCAGTTCTGGTATTCTGGCAGTCACATGGTTTGAGTGGATGTGATTTTTCTCCTCTCCCTCATTTACTATTCCCAAGCAATATGAGATGGCTTTTACTCTATTTTGTTTTCTATTTTATTGTTTTGCTGCAATTGTGCAATTGCAGAAAAATAAATTCAAAAATTCAAAAAGCGAACATGTGCTGAATAGGACATACACGGGTAGGAAGGCAGGGTTAGCAAGTCACTGTGAAAGAGTGGTTGTGGAACTGTGCATGACCAAAACTACACCATAGCATGATTGCAGATAATAGTGATTATTTCCAAACCAGCATGTTTTCATTTGCTTCAACCTGATTGCTGTGAGAGAATATTCTGGAATGATAAAGTCCTTAGACATATTTGTTTATTTGTACATACAGTTTTGTCCCCCCCCCCCTTTTAAAAATGAGCTCAACATGGTGTACATGGTTCTCCTTGACTCCTCATTACCATCACAATATCTGTAATGTAGGATGGACTGAGAGAAAGAGTCTGTCTCTCATGAGGGCGTCTGATGTGTTTCACAGTTCATTGTTTTCCCTAGTACTCTTAGCCTCCTACATCCTACTAGTTAATGACTAACCTATTGTATATCCTATTGGGTTTGGTAGAGGACTAAGAACTTTATTACATGAGGCAGAGAAACAGGCATTGCAGCAGGATGCACACAGCGCCTTGTGCATCCTGCTGTCAGTTTCCCTCCGCACTGTGATCTTTAGGCATTGATTGATAAAATCTGAAAATAGCTATTAATCTCACTACGTTCCTATAACCCATCATAACAATTAGTTCTTTCTACTTCTGTGCCTGTACTTCAGAAGTAATGTGAAATCAGAGGGTAGGATTCTCTTCCTTTCGCTTCTCCCCCATACATTTCTCAAAGTGTCCATTTTTCTTTTTCTTTATACATATATACCTTTGCTGTACAGCTGAGCCATATACAGAAACTAAGTCCAGTACGTATCTATTATTTACACAAGTGGTTCTCAACTTGTGGGTTTCCAGAAGTTTTGGCCTACAATTCCCAGAAATCCCAGCCAGTTTACCAGCTGTTAGGATTTCTGAGAGTTGAAGGCAAAACATCTGGGAATTCACAGGCTGAGAACCACTGATCTACACAAATGTCTAACTATGGAATACGAAGTGAAAGTGCTAAAGTCCTACATCTGGATCCAGTCTGTTGATATTATTTAAATAATCAATTTTCAAATATTTTATTAGCAATAATATTCATAGTTCTTCAGTCTTATAGAAATACATTTATACTGTGTTATTGGGCATGGAATGACCCAGTCAATCCCAGAGAATAGATGTATTGAAACAGCTTGAAAGAGGCAGAGTTGTACATGAGTTACATTCTTAACACAACCATTGATTATATCACTCTTTTTTGTTTTAGTGCAGCATACGTAAATATATTCTTGGAAAACTGTGGCCAGTGGATACAGACATATCCTTTGTAGCACAGCTTTTGCCCTATGTTGCACTCTTGCTCTTGATTCATTTTGCTAAGGAAAATTTCTAGCCGGCTTTTCATTTTATGGGGGCATTTCTTGGACTAGGATGAATTCTTCTGTCACTGTTTAAGTGTGGTTATAACATTTAAGTGAGGTTATTGATAGAAGGAGAATCAACTCATTTGAAATATGGAGCTGCAGGACTATTCAATTGATACCATGGACTACCAAAAAGACAGATAAATGGGCCCAAGTACAAACCAAGCTTGAATTCTTCCTAGAATGACAAAACAGAGGCTATTGTATTTAGGACAGATCATGAGATAGTGACTCCTCAGAAAAGCTTGGTAACCTAGAAAGCAGTAGGAAAAGAGTAAGACTGAATTATAGCTGGATAAACCCCAGCAAAGAAGATAGATCCCTTAGTCTGCAAAATTAGAACATTTCCCAATTCACACAGCAGATTTTGGAAAAAAACTCTTCCAGTGGGATCTTCTGCCTCAGTACCAAATTAACAGTAGGATTTCGGTGCTATGTATCTTGAACCAGTTGGGTGTGTGGAAACTTTTGCTACCCATCTTCAAGCAGCACAATATCTTTCATTTGCCAAGTTGCCAACATATTCCTTGTAATTGTGTTGAGCCTGGTATCTGAGAAACTGAACTCCTAATAATAGGGTTACAAGTTTCTATTTCATAATTATCCATAATTATAAGATGAAAAGAATCTATAAAACCATCTTGCCTGTCAAGACAGAATCCTATGGCTATCACATGATTTTCTCATGTCCAGGTTTGCATGAATGTCTAGCCAGGAGCCCCTTCTGTATATGACTCAGCTGTACAGAACATTTGCTTGTGTGGGCAAATTGTGGGAGTGATTCACGGAGTCATTCTGTGACCAAAAAAAGTAATCTGAGCATGAGTGATTTTATTTAAAGAGAAAAAGAAATCTAGCTTCCGAAACTCAATGCATGCAGAGCAATGTCAACAACAACACTTTCAAACCTGGGTTTGTCTTGCATTGTCTATATGTGGTCTAATTCAGACTAACAAGAAACAAGAGAGAGCATTTTTTACGGCTGTTTCCAAATTATTAAATAGAAGAAAGTTTCATCTCTTTTCTGTACTCCTTCAGGTTGCAAACATGGCCCTATAGCCCGAAAAAACCCACAAGAACCTAAAGATCGTTCTCTTTAGACAGGTCTTCAGCTGTTTCCTGACTGTTAACAGATCAAAGTTTTAAAACAAGTGCTGTTTCTCTTTTTAAAACTATTATTGTTATTAGTGGGGTGTTTTGAAATTGTTGTTCTAATAGCATAATTAATTTAATGTTTGCATACACATATACTTCATTGTGTTTTTATTGGGACGTTTCAGACTTTTGGAAACCACCTTGCTTGCAAGGTAGGACATAAATAAACTGCTGTTAAAAATTGTAGTTGGTTACATATCCACTGATTTTTCCACAGATGAAATCTGGGATATATGTGGGCATGTAATGTTAGAATATGACCAAGATGGCAAAAAAGTATTAATGGGGAAAGACAGAGGAGGCAGTTGCAGTTTGTTTTTGTCTGAGCCTACTGGGAAAGACATGTTTCCATCACTTCATCTCCTTTCCCCCAACTCAATTTATGGGAAGGCAAACTACTTTTGCATTTTGCACAGTTTGGAGCCCCTGATCTAAGCTGAGAACAAAGGGGGGAAAGTGGGAGAATGAGAGAAAGAAACTGGGTCATTTTAAAAGTTGCTCAACATTGGATTGACAGAGGATTAACTAGAACTGTTTTTGCCAAATTGGAACAATTGGTGGGTATGCCGTTATATTCAAGGCACAGGTGACCTCACAATGTAAGGGAAAGGATTCCTATATGCATAAATCTAGCATCTATAATATATTAGGTTTTATTCCTTATAAACCCTGATAAGGAATACAACCTAAAGTATTATAGATGCCACATGTAAGAAGGCTTAATGTAACATCTTTACATTCTATATGATGTTCTCAGTGTCACACTCTTTGCATAATCATGTGAAGAATCCAGTCGGAACTTGATATATGTGAGGGTTTCAAACATTTCTATTTTTCATCTTAATATGTTTATAATTCTCTGTTATGTGCCAGGTTTTACTGGTCCTCACTCAGCCTTGCTGAAGTTAAAAGGACATTTGAATCACAACATCGCCATCTGGATTTCTGGCAAGACCAGGAAAGCTTAGCACAGCACAGTCAGCTGTTGAGTGTTTTTGTTGCTGAAGTCAGGTGGTAAAAATAGAGGTGAGTAATTTCATTTTAAAGGGACAGGTGTTTCCAAGATCTCTTTAATAATATTTCCATGGAGCAGACAGAAACATTGTTAATGCACTAGATCATCTTGTATCAAGGTAGTTAATAACTTGTGGGTAGAAGCCTTGACTGAGAAAGTTACTAAATGCCACATGTAAGTGGTGAAGAAACTTGGAAAAATATAAGAAGATACAGATAGGAGATGGGATGGATCAGGAATCAGATTGTGTGCGACCTCGGCCAATCGATTATATATTTTCATTTATTATTTTACCTGTCTTTCTCCCCATATAGGGAATCAAAGCTGCTAACAATACATATTTATTTATTTATTTATTTATGTATTTATTATTCAAACTTATATGCCGCCACTCCCCTGGGGCTTGGAGCAGCTTACAAGAACAGGCTAAAATCTAACACAATTTAAAAACAATTTAAAAACAGCAATATCAAAAATCAAAGGCCTGTCAAAACAGATATGTCTTACATGCCCTGCGGAAAGCTGATAAGTCCTGCAAGGCATGGACTTTGGGTGGCAGAGTATTCCAGAGTGATGGTGCCACTGCTGTAAAGGCTCTGCGTCTGGTTGCTGTTAGACGCAAGGTCTTGACATTGGGAATTTCCAACGAATCTTGGTGCTCAGAATGGAGGGATCTCTGAGGTTGGTAGGGAGTGAGGTGGTCCCTCAGGTACATCGGCCCCAGACCATGCAAGGCCTTAAAGGTGAGTACCATCACTTTGAAAGTGATCCGGTGCTCAATTGGTAACCAATGCAGCTGCAGTAAGATTGGTGTTATGTGGCATCTCATCGGAATTCTCGCAAGAAGCCGAGCAGCTGCATTTTGTACCAGCTTGAGCTTCCGGATCACCGACAGAGGAAGGCCAATGTAGAGGGCATTACAGTAGTCTAGTCTTGAGATGACCATAGCCTGGATCACCGTAGCTAGGTCATCCCTGGACAGGTAGGGGGCCAGCCGTCTAGCCTGCCGCAGATGAAAAAAGGCGGTTCTGCTAACGGCAGAGACCTGGGCCTCCATCATCAGCAGAGGGTCCAAAAGGGCTCCCAGACTCTTTACCAATGATGACGGGCATAATGCCTCACCATCTAGGGTAGGCAGCTGGATATCCCCACTGCCTGGTTGACCCAGCCATAGGATCTCCGTCTTTGCTGGATTAACCCTCAACCTGCTGGCACGCAGCCATGACGTAACGGCCTCGAGGCACTGATGGAAATAATCGGGTACAGAGTCCGGTTGGCCTTCCATCTTCAGCACAAGCTGAGTGTCATCAGCGTACTGGTAACACTCAAGCCCAAAACCTCGAACCAGCTGAGCAAGTGGTCGCATACAAATGTTAAACAACAGAGGGGAGAGAATGGCCCCCTGAGGAACCCCACAAGATAGAGGGGACCTCTCAGAGACCAGGCCTCCCCTCTCCACTCACTGTCCACGGTTGTGAAGAAAGGAGGACAGCCAATTTAAAGCTGTCCCCCTGATTCCAACAGCAGCAAGGCGGTGAGTTAAAAGATTGTGGTCAATTGTGTCAAATGCTGCTGTGAGATCCAATAACACAAGCAGCGCCGACCCGCCCTGGTCAAGCTGGCATCGAAGGTGATCCGTGATGGAAACCAGCACAGTCTCTGTCCCATGCCCAACATATGGAAGCCGGACTGGAAGGGATCTAGTCCGGCTGTGTCGTCTAGGAATTGCTGCAACTGCTCCGCTGCTGCCCTCTCAATCACCTTGCCCTGGAACGAGAGATTCGAAACTGGGCGGTAACTGGAGGGAACCGAAGAATCTAAATCTGGTTTCTTCAGCAGCGAAGAGATATAAAATAATGTTTAGAAAATAATGAAAATACCTAAAATATAACACACACACTTTATCTGAACCTTAAAATCGTAATCACACCACATTATGTATTTCTTTACTCATCCTTGCCGACAGCCTGCTCCCCATTTTTTCTCACGCAGGATGTTCTAAACTGGGTGTGTGTGCAATAAAACTTGTAGTCCTTCATCGGCCTCACGGCCGGGGGGGGGGGGGGGGGGGGGGGAATTGTCTGTCAGGCCACATATGTTTAGCAGCAAATAAGAAGGGCCTTGCAGGAAAGTAAACAGGATTAGCCCAGCTGCATATCAGGTGGAAAGTGTTAACAAAAGAAGTACCATTCCTCTAAATACAGACCTATTAGGGTATTTCTTAAGAAAACTGAATTTTAATTTCCTGATCCTGTGCATGCTGGCTAGTGGATACTGAAAGTTGTTTTCTAAACTCTGACTGGTAGCATTATTAAGCCAATGCCACTGAATTAGTAGAGCTGATGTTCTAATCCTGAGTCCCTCCAGGGAGAGAGGGCAGGTTAATAAATAATAATAATAATAATAATAATAATAATAATAATAATAATAACAACAACAACAACAATAACAACAGGAAAAACTCATCTGTTATCAAGACCTCAAAATTGAACTGCAAAAGCTCTGGCATAAACCAGTACAGGTGATCCCAGTGGTAATCAGCACACTGGGTGCCATGCCAAAAGATCTCAGCCAGCATTTGGAAACAATAAACATTGACAAAATCACGATCTATCAACTGCAAAAGGCCACCTTACTTGGATCTGTGCGCATCATTCGAAAATATATCACACAGTCCTAAACACTTGGGAAGTGTTCAACTTGTGATTTGGTGATATGAAATCTAGCATTTATCTGTCGTTTGCTGTGTCATACTGTGTTTTTGTGTCAGTAAAATAATAATAATAATAATAATAATAATAATAATAATAATATCCCACATCTTTCCAGCATATGCTCACCATGAAAAGATCCCCAAAGCAATTACTAGTCCCAAACAGAATAGACCCATTGACTCAACTGCTTAATCAACATTCATTCCATGGGTGTACTCAGTTTTGAATAGCAATTGGATTTAAACCTATGTTATAAGTGTCTACATTTGATTTTGATATTTTTCTTTACCCAGACAAATAAAGTATAATATTTCACTATGCAAACATTTCCTTAAGTCTCACATACTAAAAGGTAAAGGTTTCCCCTGACATTAAATCTAGTCATGTCTGACTCTGGGGGTTGGTGCTCATCTCCATTTCTAAGCTGAAAAGCCGGTGTTGTCTGTAGACGCCTCCAAGGTCATGCGGCCAGAATGACCGGCATGGAGCGCATTACCTTCCCGCAGAAGCAGTACCTATTGATCTCCTCACATTTGCATGTTTTCGAACTACTAGGTTGTCAGAAGCTGGGGCTAACAACAGGAGCTCACCCCACTCCTAGATTCAAACCACCAATCTTTTGGTCAGCAAGTTCACCAGCTCAGTGGTTTAACTTGCTGTGCCACCAGAGGGCCCATCTCATATATTAATATAGTATTAATACCACTGGCCAACACATATTTTGGTGCCTTTATTGTTAGACCTGTTTTCGGGTATATTTGACCTGCTGATGCCAAAAATGGCACCAGTTTTCCCTTATCAGCTCTAGATTTTGAGATATAGAAAATATTCTATGTACCACTTTTTATCTGCTGTCCTACAGAAAACTATGATAACCATATCTAAGAAACTAGAGCTGATGCAGTCTATCCAATGCAATTTTCTGAATCAATTCTCAAAAACCCCAGGAACAGGTCTAAAAACCAAGACAACAAGAATGTTTTTTTTGTTGGGCTGTGTATTATCTCAGCCTGATTCACTATTACATTTTACATGTGTTGTCAAGCTATAATGTGTGCACGTGGCAAACTCACGTTTTAGTTGTATATGTTACCAAGCTGACCATCACTGTTATTCAACTTGATAAAAGCTCTCCCAGCAAGGCCTATTTTATCTTAGTCTTAGCGACTGTTAGTAAATATAAAGTTCCTTCCATCAGTGGTACAGCTGCGACTCTGGGATTCATGTATCAGTTAGCACTGGGAACAAAGTGTGAAGTGAGGATAACCACAGCCTGTTTCTGTCCTTGAGGGAATGTGTCTGATTACACCTCCATTTGTAGCCAATATTGGAATGTATTTTATCTTCATGCATTTGCTGTTTTCATTGAGGTCTGACGTTCTCAAGAGCAGTATTAAAAACAGTGTGAAAGGTAATGGGATGAGGAAATGTGATAGTTTATAAAATCATGGGGTGTGGTGTGAAGAAACTGATTGTAGTTGGAGAAAGCACAACTTATTGTCTCGTAAATTTTTAGGTCACAGGTTCACCCTGGAAAAGCGATGGATTTCTGGCTTATAGCAAAGAGAAAGAAGTACTTCACCCCAAATGGATTCATTACTGCCATCTGTAGTAACAGCCACATGACCAAAAAATCTTTCAAAGCCCCGTTCCTCTGATCTCTTTCCAAATGAGTGACAAGATACTCCGACAATCCCAAGTCCACGTCATTGACTGCTCTAGGAATAACACCAAGGCATGGTGACATTGTGTCATGTATTTTATATGACAAGACATTCCTATGGGAAGGAGAATGAGACTCCAGACTCTTATTAGTATTGGCAGTCTTTATGTGCTCAAATATCTACATCTTGCAATAGAGTTAGTACTGGGGTTGAGGAAAGGTTAGCGGTGTGATAGGGTTAGTAGTAAATCCAGTCTACTGACAGCTAGAGTATATCACTTGTGCTTTTTGCCATCATGGTTCATTAAAAACAGTATGGGACCTTTCCACTTCAATACATCAGACTGGCTGGGAAAAAATGACAAAAGATAACAGATTTGTTGTAACTCTTGTCTCAAATGTTTTAGCCTGTTTTTCTTTTCTTTCTTTTCAAAAAAAGTCTCTACATGGCAAGCAGTTGAAAACTGGGAACACACTGGCCTAAGACCTACTCCTTTTCCAAAATGAATCTAGAGAATCAATGAGATTTATTGAATGCTAACTAACTAACTAACTAACTAATGCTGGCTAGCTAACTAATCTGTGATTTGCATTTTAGGGAGAGGTAGTAAAAATGTCCATGCCTGAGAGAATT